GTAGAGGACTATAAATTGTAAGCATTATGAATAACCATAATAGGTGTAAGCACAGAGAATACCTACTTCTCATTTTTAATCTGCATGGGTTCATACCCCTGAGACGTTTCATGCTGAATTTCGGGTCTTAATGTCATTGAGCATAGGCTCAGCACCACATCCCAATGTCGTAGACCTGGGAACAGGCAAAAGGCTGGCTCCCAGCAGAACACCCCTGAGCCACTGGGATAATCGTGAGCCATGCTTATCTCACCCTAGTCACTGAGAATTCAGGTCATCCACAGGCACAGCAGGCTCATCTACATGTTTATGCCTCTGCTGCGCCTCAGTTACAATCGCTTATGATGGAGTGCAGGTTAGGATTCAAGCAACTGGGCTATCAAAGGCAACAGCAGAACAAAAGGTGAAAAGAAAAGCCCTAGCCTTGATAAGTAGATGTAAAGTCCAGGGAGCTGCTGATTGTAACCATAACTCACCCTATAATTGGCTTGATGTAAATAAACACAGGCTAAGTATCAGACTTGCGCTAAAGCCTATGTGCAGTTTCTTGTTTAGCTCTGAATGTTTCACACACCTCTACCAGAAATCAGAGCTGAAACTGAACAGGTTATACCATGATGAGAAGCAGTAACTTTGGAATTAAACCATATTCTGTGGTTCCAAAGCACAGTGTGCAATTCCAGTGCCCTGGTCAGCATTCTGCTGCACAAAAAGCTGTCTTGTTTCAGGATTTTTACAAAGGACTTTTAAATATTTTGCACAGGAGATGCTGATGAGAAACAAAATTTAATTTGAATTATCTACATTTGAATGATATACAAGACCAGTTTTGACATATAGACACTGAAATCTATAAAATCTGTATGTACGCATGCATGCTTTTTACTCTATAAAATACATGGGTTTAATTTAAAAAATTAAAAATTTCTTAAAGCAGTTCTGTTAGGTATCTTGAGCCTGTTCACAAATAAGGTTGTCTTGGTTGAGCAGATCTAAGTGATGTAAAAGAAGTCAGTAAAGTACCAGGAAGGTAATATATAAATTAAAATCCTCTCTTTTTTTGTGACAGCTGAAAAGGAATTTCTATGACTTGCCCATAATATTAAGACCATCATATTAATAAGGCCATATTACTGACCTGTAGGACATTAAAATTAGGAAATCCAACTTCTATTTGATTTCATGACTTTCACAATTTTAGACAATCAATTACTTAATTAACATCTACATGGCACTAAGCAATCATGAGGATGCAACAGAAATACAGGCACCTATTGGGCCTGTATTTATGCTGTTTAACATCCCTGTGCTGTACTACTGTCAGTGGGTTCCTCCCTGTCATCCCTTCTGTAAATCCAGTAACTAGTGCTAACTACGGCTAGAGTGTCCAAACACCAAAAAACCTGATTTGGAAAACACTGTAGATACTTACCAGATGTACTACTGCCTCTGTCTGAGCTGTTGTAGGATCCACCTGTATTCTGGTCGTATGACTGGTTGTATGGAATAGTTGGAGCACTGTTGTCATTTACCCGGTAATCTGCAAGATTAACAGTATAGTTAATGCTACCCTCCAGAAACACAACTACTTTTATACACCTGCTTTACAACACAAAGTAAGATCTCCTGAAAATGGTGAGGAAGAAATAAATAAATTTTTGAAAGGATAATCATCCTATAATCATGCTGCATTTTTATCTTGTCTCCAATTGTAAGTTTAGGAAACATCATGGGAACTTAGTAGCTCCACATCAAAAATTAAGTAAAATGAAATTCTGTTGCAATACCTCTGCAATGATTAAGTCTCTCTCAATGGATACATATACAACCTGTGTGAGCATTTTGCATATGAATAGACTGTCACCTTGATTGATTTTCCATGGTCTCTGCTTAATTTACACATGTAGGGCAGCCAATGGACTGTGGTAGCTACTTTTTGTATTTCAAAGGTGACAAACCCACATAGGCATCAGCCCTGTATTACAAGGACTGAATTGTCTGCTAGAGCAAAAATGCAGCTCCGTTGAATCTGGTTTACAACAGAAGAGGTCTTTGTTTACAGCCTGCTGGCTCCAAGAAGGTATCTATTTACACTGGGTCATGCAGGTTCTAGCTACAGGCAGGGCCTTTTTTTGCTAATGGCTGTTAAGGTAACTTCCTTCTCCAGTTCCAAAGCACTTGATCTACATATGTTACTTTTAAATCTAGATTTGGCAACCAGATCTGTAAAACTTTATGAGAAGTAAAATACTCATCTGACAAAACAGTAATCTCATGCCAAATGGAATTCTAGTTTACAGAGAACAGAAAGGAGTTGAGTTACTCTTCACACAGCAAATGAAACTGTGTCATCAAGAGAACCACTGGACATAAAGTAGTGACAATGAAGCACAGCATGTAACTCATCAAAACGGTTATTTCCCATCACAAAAGCTATAGGTATAATCATCAGCAAGATAGTTTAGACTTAGGAAATGAGAAAACCAAGATCAGAATATTGACTCATAAAACAGCAAATCAAAACAAAAATAAACAAAACTAAGAAACCAGTCCTCATCTGCTGCAGAACTGTTTGTGATAATGTAAGCATGGGAAAAAGAGCAAAATGATGAATTCTACACCAGAGTGTATTCTGTAATAGTTTCTCAGCCTAGTTGCATTCCAGAGACCATGCTGAAGCCCTACATACCGCATATGTTTACACAGAGGATAAACAGTAAATCAACACTCTGAAATATGTATATACGACTGTCAGCAGACAATGCTTTAAGGGGGCCTTTCTATACTGCAGTATGTTCGAGAATATGCTGCTGTAATATACACAGTTTGAAAGATGCCGTATCTTCCAGGGCACAAAAACCAAACATGTTTTAATTCCAAAACAGATATGTAATACACAGTTCATGAAAGAAAACATAATTACGAAAAAAAAACAGCTTTCACCCCCTAGTAAGGACCCACAAAAATTCAATTTTCTTTTGATATGTTTATGTCAAGGGAAGGTGTCACATTTTATAATGCCCTTTGAACTCCTCTGTGAGTAGATGGGTCCCGTAGAGAAATGAACAGTCCTGTGATGAAACATATCTTTTTACTGGATAACTTTTCACTATGCAATCACTTGAGCTATAACAATCCATGCAAAAAGTTCCAAGTTAGAATGTGTCCCGTTCCTAGGGATACTGTTTTGCAAATCAGGTTTTTAAAAGATGTTGCATGGTAGCCTGGAGGACTAGCAAGAAATCACATACCTATTTCTTTCAACTCCCACACATTATATTAAAGAAACATGCCCTCAAGGCCACAAAAGTACATTCTGATGTTTCCCGTTAACACTCAAATAAATTTATTTTTAGCTTCTGGATCCACAGACTTCAGTCAGGGCAACAAAGGAATTTAGTTTCCAAAACTGTGTGTGGTAGCATTGCCTCTCAATATGTGAATCAAAGGCTTGCTAGGAACAAGCCTAAAATGATTTGGAGCACTCCATTTGCGTCCCCAGTGTACAACACAATACAATTTTACAGAGTTTGATATGCAAAATTTCATTCGTTTACATGAACATGTAGATTTAATTAGTCTCCATCCACGACTGGGAAGAGTGGGTTGACCTATTTAAAATTTAAGGTAGAGCATAATGTGACTACCATGCATCTGGCTCATGAATAAAATATCTGGCCTCTGTCCTAACCAATCCCTTAACTACTATTAAATTTAAATTAATCTCAAATCCATAGGAAATGCATTTTATTTAACGCTTTTCTAAAGACATGGCTTGTTATTTTTATAATAAATTCAATATCTGAAGGTTATTGTGGTGCTAATTAACTTTCTGACACTGCTAACTGTGGATTTCTAAATCTAAAGAGGGAGAGAGAAAACTAAAAGCACCACAGAAGTCTCTAACTGCTGAACATGAAAGCTTTAGAATCCCAGCACCAGAAGCTCAAAACTCCTCTGATGCCTGAAGAGGAGAAACAAGCTAAAAGCTCTTCACCTTTGTTTAATTTGTTTTGCTCCATAATGTTGTACTGTATGGGTGCAACCTCTTGCTTTTGCTGAACAGAGGGTTTCCAGTGTTTCTCACTCGTATCCCCGCTGCCATTGTTAACATTATTGCTGATATTTGACTGGATGAGTTGAGTGGTGGCATAAGGAGTGGGCTGCCCAGGCTGGCTGACAAATCTTCCGTCCTTTAGATTTGGACTATTGAAGGTTTTCATCTCATTGATTTTGTTGCTGAGGTCCACGTCACCATATACAGTTGACTCAGGCAACATCAGGTTTGTTTGCTTGTTGTCCAGCTGATTGTTGTAATTTGCTATACAATCGGCTAACCATAGAGGAAAGAAAAAAGAAAAGGTCATTCTGTTCGCTTACACTATACTTTCAATGAAATTCCCTTTAAAAATTTTCTAGTGCAATACTATATGGCTTGCATCCATGAAGCAGATACCGTAATTAACTAAATAATTTACAGAGTATTATGTACCTTATAAGCTACCGCTTCAGAAGTAGTGTTCACTGTTTTGATTCACTGTAAATTCAGACCTTCTGAATTGTATCTACAATGACTTACCTTCTGGGCCTTTTCTACAGGGGCCACATAAACATTCACATTTTTAGACATTATTCTAAAAGCAGTATAGATAACCAATCAATAACTGTGACTAAAATAATTTGCATTGAAAGGAAAAATCAACCAAAACTTAATAGTGGGAATAATGAAACATGACAGTCATCTCATGTCATCTCAAAAGCATTTAAACTTTCTCGTACTCATGATAAGGAACAGAGATAAAACAGATTTTTATAAAACAGACTGAGAAATGATGACACATAACAGAATTAAAGAGAACTCAGTACCCAGTAGCAAGTCTTTATTTGGTCATTTCCTTGTACAATCTTATATTATGATTTGAAACAAAAAGACAGGAAAGCAATCTGGAATTTTTGCCAATTTTTAGTTTCTTTGGATCTTACAAAGTAATAGTACCACAGTAATACCATTGTCCTGTATCCTAACTATATATCACGTAGACAGCATGAATCCATTTTTGTAATAGTTACTGCATCATGAGATCACCACTTATTGCATAGAGTAAATGAGACATGTACTGATGCTCTGGCCACTACTTTATGAACCAGTATGTCTGCCTTTCCGCGACCTCTTGCCTCTGGGTGATAGCAGCTCTGCACACTTTGTTTCCTCTCCATATTCAGTCCACTGGAAGAATACCGAATGGAGTAACACAGTCTGTGGGTTGGCAGTTAGAAGGCTTAGCGTTCAATGATCATTATGCAAAAATTCTCATTTGCCAGATGATTAAAGCGTCAATAATTACATAACAATCACCAGGAATATAGTTTTCCTCTTCTAAAAGATGTGGTATTTATGCTAATGAGTTTGATTCAAAACCTAAAGACCATTACCTGTGGCCACAATTAATTTACTGAAGAGGGTGCCAAGTAATACTAAGTACAGAATTCAGGATTTGACCATTATATGAAATAACTGCTAAATATAGAGGATATTCAGTTTCAAAAATATTCCCTAATACATATATCTTTTTGAGAAGCATTTCCTAAAAAAGAGAAATAAAATACTACTTGAGGAAGAAAACCACGGATCCATATCTTCAGTGATTACGTGTATCAGAATATACCACATACAACCTACCATTGCACATTTCATGCCCCTAGCTTGTGTATTTTGAAGGTTTTACTGTTTGATACATTTTTCTGTCTTATATGTGCTGTTATTTATTGCTTCACCATCTTCAGCTTCTTGATTTCTCCTTTTTAAATGTTTTCATTTCTGCTTTTTCTCTCACTTACTGAAACCATGCTAGTCTTTCCTCCTTTCTAAGTCTATCGTATTATATTGGGCAATTATACATCCAGCATATTCTTCATTCCTAATAATACATGCTTTGCTATAATATCTTTGTAGAGTCACTTCTAACACATATTTTTACCTCCTTCCATTTTCAGCTACATCCAGTTTGTGAGTAGGGCAATATAATCACTACAGTATATGCAGTAGGTACATTTTTTTACACAGACGCATTAGAACTCCTCATACAAAGAACTTGAACAAAACTGGTTGACCTAACAAAACTGGTTTACCTATATAACAGAAGATTTCTTCTCCTAGATTTTTTTATAGCATCTATTTTTAAAACAACTTGTTCCCATTCTATAGACTTGGAAGACAGTACTATACTTAAAATATATTAAAAATGCACGTTTACTTAGCATATTCACAGCTATAGAGGGGTTATCCAACTCGGCTGCTTCAGAGTGCAAGCCAAGCTCAAGCTGACACAAATAAGAATATTTGCCAGATTTTCCAGCACAGAAGAGCTCACTACGAGCGTTTTGTCCGACCCTCAAGCTCGTAAGCTCTACTTGAAAGGAAGGAATCATTCTGCAGCAAAACCAAGCTTAATAGAAAAGTTAAACTGAGAAAGAATTCACTGCACCTCATGACAAGATGTTCTCATAGTTTACAACCCTCAAAAATTTTCTGAATTTGTTAAGTTTCAGTTACCAGAACTTGGTATGTCTCTACTTGCCACAGGAAGGTATCTCTGTATCAGGAATCTTTTTACACAGGTATTTGTGGACGTGATATCCTCAGGTTGGGTAAGAGACAAGCCTCTAATGTTAAAATCTCTCCCCTTCCTCTGAAGCACCTGGCACTGGTCACTGTCAGACAGCCTGTTGCAGGAGATGAATTACCACCATCACATTATGACTGGTTTCACCTTAATTACAGGAGGTAATGCTGTTTTGCACTTATGCAACTTCACTACAGGTAATCATACTCCCTCTCTGAAAGGATGGGAAATGCTACCAGCAAAGATCAGCTAGACACGTTGGTAGTGGAAAAGACTCATTTTCATTCCACACCAGTAACATAAATCAGGTTAAAACAAAAGGAATCCAGGGTCCGTTTAAAACAAAATGGGCAACAATTAGCGCTTCCAGATATATTTCCCCAACTGTGTTCTCATGGAACTCACAAGGTTTTCTTCAAGAGTGCCCTGAGTCCTGCCCAGGCTCCCAGGAACTACCACTTGACCTAACATTTCATAATTGCTTTTAGAATGGGAAGTTAACTTTTTTTTATCCACACACCCTAAGCAGAAAACCAGCTATCCAATTTTGTACAGAACAGCACCCCAAGGGAGTATTTGAATGGGCCAAAGTAGACTGACTGCCTTGCAAGTATTGTGGCAATGTTTTATTTCTTGCTTCCCATCACACACAAACCAGAAGAAAAATCTCACCAGGGTCATTTTGGTACTTCTCCTTCTCCATCCCAGCAACAGGGATGTACAGAACAACCTAAAAATGACCTTATGTGCTCTTTTTCAGATGCTGAAACGTATCAGTTCAGTGCGACTTTGGTAACACTGAACTTCGTAAGGGCTCTGTCTGCCTACAGCTTGCTACAGTTATCCAAAGGGGACTGAAAAAAAGGATCCAAACAGGGACGGAAGGCATAATCATGACATAGAGGAGAAACTCTAATAAAGTCGAAATGCTTTGGAAATAAAAAAAAAAAACCAAATCAACCTGTACACTTTTGCAGATATTAGAAGTATACACTCTGTAAAGAAGATTCCTTAGTAAGGTAGAAACATATCTAACCTGGTCTGCTGTAGGTCGTAAGGTTGCTATCACTGTTCCCGTTGCCAGAGGTGCAGCAGTTGATGGAGCAGTCGTTGTGATTGTTCCCTGTGTTTGGCCAAGTATCTGCTAGCCATGGCTGAGTGGCCGGTTCACTGATGTTTAGGAGTCCTGGTCTTTAAAAACAAAGCTTGGTCATTTCACAAACTAAACAAAAGCATTTTCACATTGCATATGTTCTTCTCAAAAGGTAAGATATTACAAAATAATATCACATATTTAAAGGCTTAAGCATTGGAAAATACAGCTCGATTCAATTATTTAATGATTTCTAGTCTCCTACATAACCTGTTCCTTGGTAAGACACTGAAGTGAACAGCCAAGGACAGCATCAGTTCAGGTTGCTGAACTACACATATATGTTGGTGTGCAAACTTTAACTGTCACTTTGGTTTTGTTTTGCTTTGTTTTGGGTGTTTTCCTTTTTTTCTCTTTCCTTTTTTTTTTTTTTGTACAAAGGTTGTATTTTCATTTTTATCCCCTTCTTCCTTTCTTAAAGAAAGCAAGGTAAAAAGGGGGAAATCAGCAAATCAAACAAACAAAAAATACACACATGGAAGGGAGATTGATATGCAGAAGTAAGAGCGAAGTTTGGATGTGAATACTCCCAAATTCTTGGTGCTTTATGAAGTCAAGTTCTCCTCACCATCATATAGTACTACTGTAGTGGATCAAAGAGAACAGCAGATTATAGAAACCTCTATCATTTGGGAATATTTGGATCTCACTAAGCATACTGAGTGATATATCTTTGTTAATGAGTAAGCCACTCAATCTTTACGTGGGTGGAACAGCATCAGCTCCTAATCAAGTTTAAAATAACTGGGAATACTCAAAATCTTTTAAACTATCCAGATATCAATGCTGCATATTGGCTGCATTTTGAATTAAGTGTATTCCTGCCATCAGCAGAAAGAAACAGAATTCCTTGGTATTCAAGTTGCTGAATTTTTCAAGTGAGTGTGAAAGACACTGATGGATGTTTTGTAGAATCTTTGGTGACTCTTCAGTTTTCACATTAACAATGCAATGGCATGGTATAAAGTACACACATAAGTAGCATCCCCCAACAATTTAAAATTGCCTTTGATAACTAAGGTGCTTTTAAAAGTAAACATTTTTAGCCACTGTTACATTAAAAAAAAAAAAAGAACAGTCTCTTTCATCACAGGTTTTAACACGCAACTTTCCATTTGAAATGGTGCAGAAACTAGTGTCTATAATATTAGATGTGATGTTCTTAAAAAATAAAATATGCTAATCCTCTTAAACTGCAAGCTGAGAATACTAACTGCATGCAGTTAGTTGTGGAGGATATAGTCTGTCAGTGCCGCAGGCTTAAGTCATAGTCTTAGAAGGACATTTAAAAGATCTATACATATATGTGTATATATATTCTGTACTGCATATGCCATCTGACAATTTAACACAGGAGGTGATGAGGCTTGACTTACTGTCAGGCTAACAAACCAGCCAACACACATTCCCTGAACAAGTATTTTTTGTAAATCTGAAATAAATGTACATCTATGTAGTCCTGTGAGCAGGCCAGCTGATTTGAAATACCCTGCTTTTTTCCCTACTACTCTGCTCTTACAATAAAACTACACCTCAAGGCATTTGGAGGAAATAAAGCCTTCCAGAATGTTTCAGCACTTTCAAGGCCTGTGTACTGGATTTTTGGACAGAGAGTTAAAAGTCCTTTGCTTCTAAAATCTACTTTGAATTCATACATAGTGTCATGTAAGAAATGTGGCATGAGGTATATAAGTAGAGGAAAACTCTACTAAATGTAGGCAAGAGATATTTTCATTACAGTTCCATAGCGTGGTGATGATCAGAGATCATGATTTCCAAAGATCTTTAACCTTTGCAGCAAATTCCTTGAATCCTTGAAATTATTGTACTGGGTCTAGGGTCGGGGTGGGACTGAGTAAGCGGCTGTGTGGGTGCCTGGCTGCTGGCTGTAGTCAGTCCACCACAATTACCACTACTTGAATCCTGTCTAGAAACAGGATTGCCACAGAAATCGGTATTTTTTTAGCATCATAGAAGTGGGGATATGTTGAAACATATCACTGTGACATTTTGAATTCTGAATAATGCTTTAACATGCTCACATAACCATACTTGGCAAAAATGCTAAACCTCTTCAAAGCACTGCAAATATCATTTAAGGAAGTGAAAACCTTAAGTTTGGAAACCAGAGTAAAGGTTTCACATGTAAAAATAACATTTTTTTTATGTTGCAGAAGTATGTTTCATATTCTACAAAACAGAGTACATTATACATTCTGCAAATGCCATATATGCAAATGAACAAAAGGAGGATAGATGTCAGCACCTTGAATCAATTATGCTGCTAGATAGTGGCACCGAGCCTTAAAACTAGGACAGTGAAAATGATGCTGCTCCCCTAGCAGTACCAACACGTCTGTACATGATGTAGACATTTCTAGGTTCATTTCTGCCCTCTGAGTCTATGTGAGTGTGCTTTGTCTAGCTTGTGCTATGGGAAGAGCGAGAAAGCACAGTGGCACAAAGAACACAAAGGATGTTAACTGCGTAGCTTTTTGAAAAACCTTGTCAGGGAAAAGGGTTCATCTCTGTTCTCTCATTTTCTCACTATCCTGGGGTGAAGGCAGCAACCCAGTGATTTACAGATTTGTCCATTCAGAAATCACATGGTAACTGTTCTAGAAGTTCTCCTCCATGGTTTTATGGCTACGACAACACAGCAGCATACAGTGCTGAACAGAGACATCTGCAATTGCTCTTAATGCG